GGGAGCTTCCTCTCTACTCCCTTGCCTATCTGTGGCTCTCGTCTGTGACACTGTCTACTGAAGTGGCCCAGCTTTCCACAGTGGAAGCAATTCTGACCTCCTTTATTACCTTTGGGTGGCACAGAAGGTTTTAAATTTAAATTGCGAGAGGAGACTGCTCATCTTTCTTCCATGGAGTGGCTGGTGAATTTCAACTGCCAGCCTTTGGGTTAGGAATATGACTCCTTACCATTAGGCTAAGAGAACTAACATGTTACTAGGCATTTTAAAAAATATTTGATGAAATGGGAAGGATCCAACAAGGACCTGAAAAGGTGGAGTAATGGTGAGTGTAATTCAATGGGGACTAATTTTATAAAACACAGTGTATGGGAATGATTGTTTGAAACACAACTTGAATGAAGGAAAGTGTGAAACACAATATATACAAATTTTGTATGTAAACCAAATAAAAAAAAATATTGAGAATGAAAAGTTAGGGAGAACCAGTCCAGCTAAGTGTTTAAAACTGAGTTGAGAAAATTATCAGGTTAGAGGGTGTACAAAACAGAATAAAATTTTATGATAACAAGGAAGATAATAATAGATAAGTAGTTATTAAACTTGATAATGAAAAAAATCAGTATCAACAGAATGATGAAGGTGAAGCTAGATTATAATGTGTTGCACATCTGTTATCCAATAAGAGATTCAATAGAGAAAGCTTTAAAATAGGACATTTCATTAATTAAGAAAAAAGTAGTGCTAGATTTTATAAGTGCTTTATATGCACGTAAGAGTAATAATTTTTTCTTTTCATTTTGATAAATCTAGTAAATGGAATAGATATTAATTTTTAATATTTTATTTTTATTTGAGATAAAATGAAAGATGAATGATTTACTTATCTTTTGTCAGACTGATTTATAATGATGTAGCTCACTAATGTTTTTCATGTAGTTCTTCAGTGAAGCCCTTCTGGTGACGTTCCATTTTTGTCATAGAATAAAATTTCTTGTTGTCATCTACTTTGCTAGACATTTAATTAGCTATGTTGGTAGGAAAAGCATTACAACTTGAAAGTATATGGGATATAACTTCTATAAAGTAAGAGAGGTAAAAATAGGATGGATAGATAGATAGATAGATAGGTAGATAGAATAGAAATTTTGTGGACTATCCTTATAGTAGGAGAATTGATGCCTTTGAACTGTGGTGCTCGAGAAGAATATTGAATATACCACGGACTGCTAGGTGAACAAACAGGTTTGTCCTGGAGAAGGTGAAAGTAGGCTGCTCTTTAGCGGTAATGATTCTGAAGCTTCGTCTGACATACTTTGGACATGTTACAAGGAGGGACCAGTCTTTGGAGAGGGACATTATGCTTGGAAGGGTGAAAAGGACTGCAAGAGAGGAAGATCCTGGGTGAGATGGATTGATTCATTGACTGGGGTAATGAAGGTAGGTGTGTCAGAGACAAAGAGGTTGGCACAGGTTAGAGCAGGGTTTAGGGCTGTTGTACATAGGGTTGCTATGAGTCGCAAGCAACTCGACAGCAAATTCCAACAGTCCTTACAGTATTTAGTTTGACACAGTTTTCTTACCCTTGAGGTGTTTTATTTCTTTTTAATTGAAGAATTTCTTATAAGTTTATAAAGAACTTGTATTTCCAGTCATTCATTGTTGCTCATTTTCCTTCCTCTGTGTCCTCCCCCCCCCACCC